AAAAAAAAAAATTTTCCAAAGTTCATATGAAATTTTTTTAAGTTTATTTTTATAATTTGTACTACTGTTCTTGACGGTCTATGTGGTTCTTGGTTGCTTAGGGCCTGCATTCTACTGGCTACTCAGAGCCCATGGGTAGGACTTAAGCAAGAATAGACCTTGTGCCTTTATCATTTGGTCTAACAAGAGCTAAATTAACTCCGTAAACTTTTTATTGAGACTGTCTCTGAATTTACAGTGTTTGAAATAGGTTTATAAGTCTCCTGCACAGAATTAAGTGTAAAAGTGTTATGTAATATATCTGCTCTGAGAAACTAGCTCCTTCAGTTTATAAAACTGTTGTTTTTAATAGTCTTAGCTATGAAGAGTTGGTATCCAGTTGTTCTTTTTGTTAACTGGTCTAGTATATTTTGTAGTTAACAAATTATGGTATTCGGATTTATGTAAATTCTTGGTAAGACAAATATCACATACATGCAGCTAAGGCTCTTATTTGGATGGCTCTGTCGTTCCTTAAAGCATACAACGTGAGCCCTGGGGATGGCCTGGGTGGCTCAGTGGTTGAGCATCTGCCTTCAGCTCAGGGCGTGATCCTGGAGTCCCGGGATCGAGTCCCACATCGGGTTCTCTGCATGGAGCCTGCTTGTCCCTCTGCCTGTGTCTCTGCCTCTCTCTCTCTCTGGTCTCTCATGAATAAATAAATAAAATCTTTAAGAAAACAAAACAAAAAAACGTGAGCCCTAAAGGGAAAATTTTCCTTTGAAAAGAAGAAAACAAGTGAATTAAAAGGAAGCTATCGTGGAGTGATATATCATTTCAGGTCCTTAGAGACATCCTCAAAGAAGTTCAGAGTAACATGGTGCCACGCAGCATGCTTAAAGAGTGGGCTCTGCATACGTTCCCCAATGCCACAGACTACTGGACGTTCCGGAAGATGTTCACCATCCAACTTGCCCTGATTGGCTTTGCAGAATTCGTCTTGCATTTAAATAGACTCAACCCCGAGATGTTACAGATTGCTCAGGTAATTTGGTGTGAACAGGCAAAGCCTCTCCTTCAGACTTCTGCATTGTGCTGGTTAAGTTCTGAGAACATCTCCTCATGTTTAGGACACCGGCAAACTGAATGTGGCCTACTTTCGGTTTGATATAAATGATGCAACTGGAGACTTAGATGCCAACCGTCCTGTCCCTTTCCGCCTCACACCCAACATTTCTGAATTTCTGACCACTATTGGCGTCTCCGGCCCGTTGACAGCCTCCATGATCGCCGTTGCCCGGTGCTTTGCCCAGCCCAACTTCAAGGTAGGCCACAATGACTGCGCAGCACACACAGTGTTACTTAGACACTGCGCGGCCTTGCGGGCTGCTGGTCTGCTAGTAAGGAGAGAGAAAGCTACTTGTTGCTGAACAATTCAAATTTCTTCATTTGGGAAAAAGCATTTTGAAATTTTTGCTGTCTAAAGCATTTAGGATGTTGAAGCAGCTTTACAAAAAGGAATTGGAAGCCTCTGTTGGATCATTTTCCCAACTATTACTGTTGCTCATCGGGTTTGTTTACTTGGTTTTGTAGCTGCTTTCCATTTTGCTTTTATGTAAATCTTTCGGCTATAAAAGGGCAGAAGAGTGGCACCTGGCTGGTTCAGTCAGTAGAGCCACGTGACCCTTCATCTCCAAGTGGTGAGTTCAAGCCACACACTGGATGTAGAAATAACTTAAAAATAAAATCTTAAAAAAAAACAAAAGGTGGAAGTATTGTCTGCAGGATAGCACCTTTCTTACTAGCACTGTGGTTACAGTGACGTTGAGGTCCCAACAGTGGAAGATGAGATGGATGCCCTTGGCCACAGGAAGCTGTGGGACAACTCTGTCATGGTGACAAGGTGGCCACCTCTGCCTTCTTCGGCCAGTGATACAGGGAAGGAGGGCAGACCGGGATTCAAATCCATTTCACACTGACTCCGAGCCTGTCTTCACCACTAGAGTAATCTCTCCTCACAACTAGGGACTAAACCAAGTTATTTTTCTTTTAACTTAAGAGACCACTTGTACCTTTTTTTTTTTTCCTTTTTTCCCCACAGACAAGCAGTTTGTGTCTTGAGAGGCCTTCACATACCAGTTGCTTTCCAAAAATGGTCAGAACAGTTTTAAAATTATTAGCTAAATGCTTATCTGTGAACACAGACTTTATATTACATATATCTTGTGCTCTTCAGTGCTCAGTTGCACGTGTCCCTCTGTGGAGTGCTTTCTGAGGAAAGCATGAGTATGAACATGAGTAAAAATAGCCTTGAGATTTCTCTGTGAGTGAGCAGTCTGTGCTCTGATGCAGCAAGTTCACGGTCACTTATTTGGGGTGTAAGGCTTGAAATAGAACGTTCTCACAGAGATAGGAATGTTATACTTCTGGAAACAATCATCAGGCAGTCCTTAGAATGACATTTATTTGAAACCTTTAAAGAATGAAGGAGGCTCCCCATATTTCAGAGGCCTGTTAACAGCTTGGAGTAACGCCGTGCATTGCTCTTTGTATAGACAGTGCAGTGTAGTTGGGAAGGAAGTGGGTTTTCTCCAAACTCTGGACCAGATTTCTTAACAGCCTAAATGTAAAGAATGCCTAATTTACTAAAATGTAGACCATTTTGTATGGGAATCTCTTCTAAAAACACATTTGGGAGGCTCTATTTATGCCCTGTATATGGAGAAACTAAGGTACGCGGGGGGGGGGGGGGGGGGGGGAGTTAAGTAACTCTCCCAAGGTCACCCAGACAAAGAGTATTGGAGCTGGGGCTAGAACCCAGAGTCTGTACTGTGTCCACAAAGAGGCCTGGGGTGGCTCTCCTTGGCCTGAGACCCATACCGTGTGACACCCACATGCCATGTGTCCTTGATTCCTTCCTGTTTCAGCCCAAATGTGACCTTGTCACCAGCTTCCCTGAGAACCCCCTCTGAGCCCGCCTTACCTGCTGTTTTCTGCACCATGCCCTTCATCAAGGGCGTGTCAGGCATTTCTCTGTTAGGACCAAAGCCCCATAAGGGCAAGGGCTGTTGGTGTTTCTGCTTTGTTCGCTCTTGGCTGCAGTGCCAGAACAGGCCCTCAACAGGTACTCAGATGTGTGGGGTGAAACAGACAATTGGCACCAGGAAGCAGTGTGACAGCAACAGGTGCCATTGGATACACAGGGATGTGCCCTGACTCAGACCAGAATGCTTTGCCTTTGGCCAGTGCTTGACCCCAGGTGCCTTCCCTGGTGCATCGAGAAGGCATCTGCCCCAGCCCTGGGTGCTATGGCTCACCATTGTTGGGCCCCACCTCGTTAAGAAGCTGCCCCTCCAGGTTGCTCCTGGTTAACCCAGCACCTTTTCCTTCTCCATGCAGGTGGATGGCATCTTGAAAACGGTGCTTCGGGATGAGATCATCGCTTGGCACAAAAAAACACAGGAAGATACCTCCTCTCCCCTCTCTGCCGCCGGGCAGCCTGAGAACATGGACAGCCAGCAGCTGGTCTCCCTGGTGCAGAAAGCAGTGACTGCCATCATGACCCGCCTGCACAACTTGGCCCAGTTTGAAGGTGGGGAGAGCAAAGTGAACACCCTGGTGGCCGCCGCCAACAGCCTGGACAACCTGTGCCGCATGGACCCTGCCTGGCACCCATGGCTGTGAGCTTGCCTGCTTCCGCCACCCCAGAACGTGAAGCGCCTCTGGGCTCCATGCCCACTGGCTGTTTAGCTCTTCCCACCTGTCTGCTGCACTCACTGCAGCCTGCAGGGTCACTGGGCTGTGGTCACCCCCAATAGCGTGTGTGCGACAAAGGGGAAACAGTTTTGGGAGAGCTGCCCCACCTGGAACAGGGGCCAGGCCATTAGCAAGGACAGGGTGAAAACGTCTGAAATTTACAATTCCTTTTACGAAACCAGGATTCCCCAGTTGGGGATGTCTTTGTGAATTCTTTTTTTATTGTGTTCCTCCCTCGGTGTGAATGTACAGATTGGACTGTAGAAGACAGTTCTGTCCGTTTTTAACTCTGAAGTAACACCTCACAGGAGCTTTGTGCTTTTGTACAGACCTTTGTAACAATTGTACAGAAAACCTACTCTGTTAGAGAAACAGGAAATTATGAACAAATCGTGCTGGTTTTTCTCTGAGCACAAACTTTGATGCTGTATGTCCGTGGCTATGGGATCTCACTAAGTGGCTGATGTGGGTCAGCAAGGCCCCCTCTGCCCTGTGGGAACACCATTCCTACGTGTTTGGATTCAGATTCCATTGGGAGCACACGAGCTCTGGGAGCTGGCAGGTGAATCTTAGGCTTTTCATCGGCTGGTTTCTCGGGCACCTTCTAGACATTTACTATCATTGTACCTGGAAAAACACTTTTTTCCTTCCTAATTTAAAGAGAAACAGCAACAAAGGTTTGTCCATTCACTCCAGTGTGTTAATGTTCACATTTTTATAAATATGAGCATTGAGAATGTTCTATCTAAATTTGTACAGTGTGATTTTTTTTTTAGAATAAATATTTTATAAAAGGATGTGTCACCTCTTATGTGTGTGGAAATGCTTGTTTCTGTGAGGTGTTCCCTCAGCCCCTCAGGGACTGAGCCTTAGGGCCAGCACAGGCCAGGCTCCATGGTGGCTTTCTGGTGACGCCTGAGAGGGGTGTCAGCTTATAACTTCGGGGTCTTCTGTGATGGTGACAAGGAAGGCGGGTCCTGACTGACAGGGTGAAACGTGCCCAGGAATCTGGTCCCTTTGGCTTGGTTTCCCCACCTCAGGGCTGCTGCCTGTGACTTGTGTGCAGAGGAGCAGGTGGGCAGGCGCTTGGCCTCCTCCGTCCTGTGGGTGGCGCCCACGAGGCAGAAGAGCCTGCCCTGGAGGACCTGGGGGGGGGGGGTGTCTGAGGATAAAAACCGGAAAAACGGCCTGAGGGACAGGGCTTGCCTTGCATTGTAAAATTATGATTCTGAATTTAAAAGGACTCCTCCATTGGGAAGCGCTTTGCTGAGAGGCAGACGGCTTTCACACAACTCAGGGCCAGGATGCAGCCCTTCCCAGGCCTTGCCTACAGCCCTCTTCGTCCACCGACGCCCCAGGCCAGCATGGGGGAAGCTTGCCGCTGGTTTCCTGCAGTGTCACTGCAAAGTCCAGTCCAAGGGGCAAAACCAGAGGGACGGAATAAGCGAAGGTGACCATGAGGGTGCCGGTCTGTACCTGGGATGCAGGGTCATTAGCAGTGGGTGGCCACAAGGTGGGGCTGTTACCCGGGTCACTGGTCCTCAGGTAGAGGGTCCCTGAGCCCTGAGTGGGTGGCCCTCCACAGAGGAGGGGTTTCCAGCTCAGAGAAGGGGAGCAGCTCCTGAAGGTTCAGCTGTGGAATGTGGTGGTGCTGAGAGGCGTGATCAGCATTTGGAGGAGGGAAGTCAGTGTACTGAGGGCCCCAGGTTCTGAGCCAGCTTCATTCAAACCATGCACTTGGTGCCCATCCCCCCACCTCCAGATTTCTAGGAAAACCAGCCTTTGAACAGTGAGGGCAGAGTGTTCCTCCGTGGAGTTCCAGCACCTTCTGTTCTCCATCCATCCATAAGTGGAAAGGTCAGGGACCTGGACTTAGGAGGCCAGAGAATGGGTCTGTTTATGGGGGTTCTCCAAGCATCACTGCAAGGTAGGTACTGTTTTATTAAACATATTTTTTTTATTATGAGAAAAGATACATAAGATTCGCCATTTTAACCATTTTTAAGTGTCCAGTTCAGTGGCATTAAGCGCATTCACATGGTTATGTGACCCCCACTCCCACCACCATCCTTCTGCAGAACTTTATTCGTCTTCCCAAACTGAAACTCTGCATCCATTAAACACAACGCCCCGTCCCCGGCACCTACCCTTATACATTCTGTCTCCTGGATTTGTCTCCTCTAAGAATTTCCTTTAAGTAGAACCATATGGTATTTGTTGTTTTGTGCTTGGCTTGCTTCCCTCAGCATCCGTCCTCTAGGTGTGCCTGTGGTGTAGCATGTGAAAGCAGTTGCTTCTTTTTTAAAGCTGAATCATACTGCATCACGTGTATATGTGTATATACCACATCTTGTCTTTTCATCCATCGATGGATGGTTTTTGGATATGGTAAATAATGCTGCATGAACACGAGGGTGCAAGTATCTGTGGGACTCCCAGTGCTCAGTTCTTCAGGGAATATGCACAGAAGTAGAGTTGCTGGATCATATGGTAATTCTGTTTTTAACTTTCTAAGGACTGCCATGCAGTTTTCCTTAGCAATTGCCTCATCTTATGCCCGGACCAGCGGTGTACACAGGTTTGTTTCTCCCCGTCCTTGTCAATGCCTATTTCCTTTCTTTCTTGTAGCAACCATTTTAATAGGTGTAGTGGGGTAACATCCATCTTATTGGGGTTTTGGTTTACATTTCCCTTGTGATTAGTGACTTTGAGCATCTTTTGATGAGTTTGCTGACCATTTATGTATCTTCTTTGGAGAAACATCTATTCAAATCTTTTGTCTGTTTCTTAATTGGGCTGTTTTGTTTTGTTTTTTGTTTTGTTTTTTAATTGTAGGAGTTCTTTATATATTGTGGTTCCTAACCTCTTACTAGGTTTATTATTTACACATACTCTCCCATTTTGTGGGCTACTCTCCCATTCTATTGACAGTGCCCCTTATGCCCCTATGACAGTGCATAAGTTTTAAATTTTGATATAGTTCGATTTTTATAGTTTTCTTTTGTTGCCCATGCTCTTTGTTGCCATATCCAAGGAATCATTGCCAAACCCAATGTCATGAAACCTTTCCCATTTTTTCTAAGACTTTTATAGTTTTATTCTTTTTTTTTCTAAAGATTTTATTTATTCATGAGAGACATAAAGAGAGAGAGGCAGAGACACAGGCAGAGGGAGAAGCAGGCTCCATACAGGGAGCCCGACGTCGGACTCGATTCCAGAACCTCAGGGTCATGCCCTGGGCTGAAGGCAGGCGCCAAACCACTGAGCCACCCAGAGATCCCCTATAGTTTTATTCTTACATTTAAATCTTTGGTCCATAAAGTAGGGGTTCTATCTCTTTCTTTGGCCTATGGATACCAGTTTTTCAAGTGCCATTTGTTTCCAAGTGCCACCCTCCACAGAATAGTCAATTTAACTATATATGAGGGGATTGATTTATTTATGGGTTCTCTGTTCTATTACATTGGTCTGTATGTCCTTTTATTTTCTAAGTATTTATTTTAGTAATCTCTACACTCAGTGTGGGTCTCGAACTTAGGACCCTGAGATTGAGTCACATGCTTTTCCAACTGAGCCAGTCATGTGTCACCTATATATGTCATTATGTCAGTACCAAGCTGTTTATTACTTGTTGTATGTTTGGAAGTGAGGAAGTGTGAGACCTCCAACACTGTTCTTTTTTCAAGATTCTTTTGGCTAGTTGGGGGTCCCTGAGATTCCATATGAATTTTAGGGTGGATTTTTCTTGTTTTGCAGAAGTGGTGTTTATTTTTTTCTTTCTTTTCTTTTCTTTTCTTTTCTTTTCTTTTCTTTTCTTTTCTTTTCTTTTTTTTTTTTTTCTGCAAAAAGCTTTATTGTCTCCATTTGGTCCACGTTTTGGGAAAGGGCTCCAGGATGGTTAAAAAGCTGCCTCATGGCTTCATGGGAAAAGGTTCAGGCACAAGCCCTGGCACTGGGGGATGCCAGAGGAGCCCCTCAAAGGCTGCTGGTCTCCAGAGGCTCCTAGTCGTGCTTGAGAGTGAGCCTTTCGAAAAGATACTCACCCAGCCCAGCCTGGGGGGTGGCCAGCCTGCGGAGGTTAGTCAGGTGGTCACCCATCTTCTTGATGAGTTTTACCTCCTCATCTAGGAAGTGGTTCTCCAGGAAGTCACAGAGATGGGGATCCGTGCAGGCAGAACCCAGGGCATGCAGATCCAGAAGGGCCTGGTTCAGGCTCTTCTCCAGAAGCAGGGCGGCTTCCATGGCATCCAGGGTCTTCCCCCACTCATCTTGGGACGGTTTCTGCACGTCCTGGAAGAGGGCGCAGCCGCCGCGCTGGTTTTGCATCTTCAAGAAACGCTCACCGCCCTCACGCTTCTCCTCAGCCAACTCGCGGAAGAAGTGGCCCACACCCTCCAGAGCCACATCATCATGGTCAAAATAGAAGCCCAGAGAGAGGTAGGTGTAGGAGGCCCGCAGTGCATGTTGACCAGGTGGTTGACGGCAGCCTCCACCTCGGTAGAATAATTCTGATGAATCCAGGAGCTCATGGTTGATCCCAGACAAGGAATTAAATTCAAACTTGGGTGTTCACTGCCGGTGGCAGAAGATGGCCAGGAAGATGGCTCCGAAGGTTGTGACTGGAAAAAAGGTTGGAGGGTGGCCGTTGGCTGGTAGAAGGGGCGTCCCTGGGTCTGTTCATCCAAACACTGTTGAAGCAAGAGACAGATCTGCAGGACCGCCGAAAGCACCGCCTGGTGTTAGATTTCTATAGGAGTTACATTGAATCTGTAAATCATTTTGGACAATAAAGACATCCTAGCAATGTTAAGTCTCCCAATCCGTGAACCCAGAATGTCCTTCCATTGATTTTTGTGTCCTCTTCAACTTCTCATTTTATAATTTTTATAGTTTTGAGTGTGTGTTTCATTTTCTTGGTTTATTCCTGTTCTATTCTTTTAGATGCTACTACAAATGGAATTATTTTCTTTTTTCTTAATATTTTGTTTATTTTTTTATGAGAGACACACAGAGAGAGAGAGAGAGAGAGAGGCAGAGACACAGGCAGAGGGAGAAGCAGGCTCCATGCAGGGAGCCCAATGCAAGACTTGATCCCAGGACTCCAGGATTGTGCCCTGAGCCAAAAAGGCAGATGCTGAAACCACTGAGCCACCCAGGCGTCCCTAGAATCATTTTCTTAATTTCATCTTTGGGTTGCTCATTCACCTATAGAAACACAACTGATTTTTGTGTGTTAACTTTGTATCCTGTAGCTTCACTGAATTCATTTTTTTAGTTCTGACAGTCTTTGTTTTTATCAGGAACAAAAGATCTTTCTTTTAAGACAGTGTTGGCATAAATTTTCCTAGGGGGAAAACCATTTTAGTTGTTGGACAAATGCAGTCAGAAGTCTGAAAAGTTAGGAGGCTTTAGTTTCTTGAAGGGGAAGAAAATAAGAACTGACTAAAGTTTCTCTGAAAAACTTTACTTAAAAAGGAGATCATGGGAGGTAAAAGATGAGAGTTGGGTCTCAAGGAAATGGTGGAGCTCAAGAAGCATGGAGGAAGACAGCTACCTTGTTGTAGAGGTGGTGGGGGTCCTTAGGAGGGGAAATGAGTATTTTAATGGACACTTGGGCCACTCCTGGTTAATGAACCAGCTAATGGTGGGGAGGTGAAGAGAATAGAGGGAAAAGCAGGGGAAACAGACTCTGGATTATGAACCTGTGAGCTGGTATGGAAATTTTGGCTCGTCAGAAGAAAAGTGAGAAAAATCAATCTACCAAAGTGAGGTTCATAAAGGACAATCAACAATAGTCCTCTACCATGAAAAGCTTTTCTTTTAGAATGTCCTTATTAGGGGCACCTGGGTGGCTCAGTGGTTGAGCATCTGCCTTTGGCTCAGGTCATGATCCTAGGGTCCTGGGATCGAGTCCCGCATTGGGTTCCCCGCAGAGAGACTGCTTGTCGCTCTGCCTATGTCTCTGCCTCTCTCTATCTCTCATGAATAAATATACAGAGAGAGGGGCGGAGACATAGGCAGAGGGAGATGCGAGATCATGCCCTGAGCCGAAGGCAGACGCTCAACCACTAAGCCACCCAGGTGCCCCTAAATAAATAAAATCTTTAAAAAAATGTCCTTATGAAATGAAATGCTAGTGATATGGGTGATTGTTATTAATTTCTCTAATGTTATCTTTGACAAACTAAAAAATTAATAACTATATACGGGTCTCCTGATTCTGGTCAGTATATTTTACTGGTCTAAAACAGAAGAGTTTGGGAAATACTAAACAAGTCATAATTATATGGGATTCTGTATAAGAGTGTAAGATGTTTCTTAATCTTTAGCTTATTTTTAACTCCAAAATTTAATGACAAGGCTAAAAAAAAAAAAAAGCATGGACCTACATCATGCATAGATAATAGATGAAAAATCTTAAAATAACACCAAATATAATTCAGGACTATTTTGATTCCTACACCTCATGAATGTGTAGTGGTACAATTTTTATGTATTTCTGGATAACATGCATTATTTTTAGTGAATTATCTAGAGTTACTGTATTCATCTTGATCATATCATAGTCTATGGTCAAATAATATGCCACTTCACTTATGTCAGGATCCTACAACAGTAAACTTCTATTTCTCCCCTCCCATCCTTTGTGCCATTGATGTCATAGTTTTTATTTCTATCTATGTTAACCTCACAACACAGTATTATTTTTACACTAGGCTATATTTTCTTTATGTATGTGTAAGTTAAATAATCTCTACACCCAGTGTGAGGCTTAGACTCATGACCCATAGATCAAGAGTTACATGCTCCATCGAATGAGCCAGCCAGGCACCCCTAGACCACAGTTTCTTAACAGGAATCATATTGTTCCTTTGTATGGGGGACTGATTTGATAAAAATGCCTAAAAGGCTCCTTAGAAAGATGGC